AACAGATGAGGATTAAACGACAATGAGTGTGAAAATGTCTAGCATAGAAGCTGGCACATTGAATATTCTTAGTAAATGGGAACAACCAGGTAAAAAACGTAGCAGAGATATCCTGCCTCTGTACTTAGTTAGCAGTTGACTCTTCTGGCAAAAACATGTCACTATCCCCACCATTAATCCTCCTTTAACCAAGATCTCAGGAATTTTTGTTCTTTGTTTTGTTTTGTTTCGTTTTTTTGAGACAGGGTCTCGCTCTGTTGTGCAGGCTGGAGTGCAGTGGTATGATCATGGCTCACTGCAACCTCCACCTCCCAGGCTCAAGCAATCCTCCCGCCTCAGCCTCCTGAGTAGCTGGGACTACAGGCACATGCCATAACGCCTGGCTAATTTTTGTATTTTTTGTAGAGACAGGGTTTCACCATGTTGCCCAGGCATGTCTTGAACTCCTGAGCTCAAGTGATCTGCCTGCCTCAGCCTCTCAAAATTCTGGGATTACAGACATGAGCCACCAAGCCTGGCTGATCTCAGGTTTTAGAGTCAGACATATGAAGTTACAATTCAGGCTCCACCACTTACCAACTGTATGACCTTGGACAAATGACTTTTTCCTCTTTGAGGCTCAGCTTTCTCACCTATAAAATATGAATAATGGTACCTACTCCACAAGATTGTTGTGAGGATCAAATTATATAATGCATGTAAAATGTTAGCTGTTTTTCTTTAATAATAATAAGTCATAGTAGCATCCAACTGCTGCTGATTAAAGTCGAAATTCTTTGACCCAGCATACTATGGCCCCCATAATTCCTTCCTCGCCTCTCCTCATGCTGCTCCCCTATGTGGATGCCACACTCAAGCCAGATGTGTCTTTCTCACTGCTATGTCTTTGCCCACGATCTTCCTCTCCATGCAGGATGCTCACTCATACCTCCCACCTGGTAACACCCCACCCAGCTCAAGCCTCACTTCCCAACTAAGCTGGCAGCCCCCTCTGCTGCTCTGGGTTTCCACAGCATTTCCAGCCCGCACATATTAGTGCTCAGACTGCCCAGAGGAAAACTTCTGTTGGCACTTGTCTTGCCCATGCTACCCCTCTTCCGGTGCTCACACTTGATTTATCTTTGAGGGAACTGATCTTTCTCCACTATCAGTCCATGTGCGGTTCCGAGGATAGGTATGCGCTCAGGCCTTAGACAAAGTCACCATGATTAATTAAGAGGTGGACACTTGACCAAGCGGGGCCAATCTGGCTCAGCCCTGGAACGTTTGCTCGAATTATTCTTTTTCCACAGGCACCGCTAAGCTGAAACAATGTAAATTAGATCTACTAGTAGCCTTATTTGTCACCTTGAAGACAGGAATGGATTTAAAATGAGTGAACACAGAGGAACCAGGAAATGGAGAGAGACAGATTCTTCATGGCATGATGTGAGCATCTGGATCTGTCCATGCCCAAAGCCAGATACTCCTGACTTTCAAATTAAGTGAGCCGATAAACTCTAGCTTGTTTATTTTTTTCTAATTTATTTAAGCCAGCTCGAGTTGGGTTTCTGTCATTTGCCACTGAAAGACTGCTGACTAATATAGTGACTTAACCAGACAGTATGCTCCCTGAGAGCAGGAATTGCATTTTATAGACCTAAGATCCTTGGAGACAGGGATGACATCTTACGCATATCAGTATTACAGGACTAAGCACAGGGATGGTTACAGAGCAGGTGAAGAACAAACAAAAGAATACATATCTTTTTGTATTTTCCCAATGCCCCCATGCTCTGCACTCAGAAGACCCTAAAATACTTGAATAAAAGTTAACAGGAATAGGCCAGGCACGGTGGCTCACACCTGTAATCCCAGCACTTTGGGAGGCCGAGGCGGGTGGATCACCTGAGATCAGGAGTTTGAGACCAGCCTGGCCAACATGGTGAAACCCTATCTCTACTAAAAATACAAAATATTAGCCAGGCGTTGTGGCAGGCGCCTGTAATTCCAGCTACTCGGGAGACTGAGTTAGGAGAATCACTTGAACCCGGGAGGTGGAGATTGCAGTGAGCCGAGATGGTGCCATTGCACTCCAGCCTGGGCAACAAGAGTGAAACTCCATCTCAAAATTTAAAAAAAAAAAAAAAGTTAACAGGTACAAAATCATATGATAGGCACTTTAATTCTTATGTGACACAAACAGAGCCCTTTGATTCTCCACAGTTCCTCTGAGGATGACTGATTTATCACTTTCTGAATGGAATGGGCTTGATGAAAGAGTTGTCCCAGGATCCCCACAGGGCTGAAAGAGATACTTTATTTTTTATTTATTTTATGTTATTTTTTGCAGAGACAGGGTCTCGCTATGTTGGCCAGGCTAGTCTCCAACTCCTAGCCTCAAGCAATCTTCCCACCTCAACCTCCCAAAGTGCTGGGATTATAAGTGTGAGCCACCATGCCTGGCCAAGAGATACTTTAAATCACCTTATCTACCTGCTCCCAGTCCCCTATTGTACAAATGGGAAATTGAGATTTAAACTAAAAGGCTTACTTAACAATGCATGGTGAGTCACAGACCCAAGTCAGCCAAGAACCCCCACCCCAAGACTTGTAGTCCAGTGCTCTGGCCGCTGGCCTGGTGTCACTTTATTAAGCAAAGTGAATCAGTCACTCACCCAAAGAACTCAGAAATCTCGGAACAAAGTGGAATAAACTGCCCAACTCTGCCAACTGCCCCCTCAGCCCACATGGGTAGGGCAATAATACAAGGAAAAGTGCCCTGGGCCAGAAGTCAAGAACCACTGGCAGGCCGGGCGTGGTGGCTCAAGCCTGTAATCCCAGCACTTTGGGAGGCCGAGACGGGCGGATCACGAGGTCAGGAGATCGAGACCATTCTGGCTAACACGGTGAAACCCCGTCTCTACTAAAAATACAAAAAACTAGCCGGGCGAGGTGGCGGGCGCCTGTAGTCCCAGCTACTCCGGAGGCTGAGGCAGGAGAATGGCGTAAACCCGGGAAGCGGAGCTTGCAGTGAGCTGAGATCCGGCCACTGCACTCCAGCCCGGGCTACAGAACAAGACTCCGTCTCAAAAAAAAAAAAAAAAAAAGAACCACTGGCTGTAGAACTAGCTTCCTCCCTTACCAGCCATGTGATCTCAAGTAAGCCCTTCCCGTCTCTATACTCAGTTTCCTCTCTCTAAAACAGGGGGAGGGGAAGGTGGGATTTGAAGGAGCTGATCTCTAAGGTGCCTGAAATTCTATTATTATATGGAGGTTGTTGGACAATTCACCAAGTCCCCAAGATTAAACCCACACAGATTACAGAGAATTTGAATGCCAACAGGCCAGCAACTCATCTGCAGACTCCAAATTAAGGCTGATGAATTGAGGGTTCCAGCTTGCCTTTGCAGGAGAAATAGAACGGAAATACATAATATCACCTCCATGGGTACCACAGAGAAGTATGGAGCCATATCCCCCACATCCTATAGTTCACCTTTCTCATCCTCTTCAAAGATCCACATCTAAATTGAGTTGAGTGAGATGAATTTGAAACAAGCCCATTAGGATGTCCACATCTGCCTTCTTCAAAGTAGTCCTTTTAGGAGTTTGGGCAATTCTTCCAATGAGGCAGTAATTCCTCCCTGCATTTGTAAAAGTCCTCTTGTGGAAACAGACCAGCCTCACGACTTTGTCCTCACACCTTGACTGTCATTTCAAGTGACAATTATCAATTTGATGACCCATTGTATTCTCTATACTTGACCTGGAGTGACTTCCAGCCATTTCCAAAAGTTACAGTCCTCATTTAAAAGATAGAGGTCTCTCCTCAATGATGATATTCAAGTGATTACACCCCATGCTCCAAAGTTAATTCCCTGCAATTCTCTGAGCAATGGAATCATCAGAAAGTGATATAATGCCTCCTCCAGGGGGTCTCTTTTGGAATGGCAGTCACTTGTTGAATGTCCTGAGGTGCTTATTTTAAAAAACCATCTCTGCAGCATGACAATCACATTTCCCCCTTCTCTTTCTCATCCCTGGAAGACTCCAAACTTTTCCCTTCACCAGCTCTCCTCCCCCACCCCTCCCATCCCCTGGCCCCACTTTCCTCAGCCCAACTCTCTTCCCTGCCAGCAATTAGGCAAAAGCCCAAGTTGCTGAGTCTTCGAAATCTATCTCTGATCGAAAGGTGGGTGGAAGTGGGGGACTCTAATGGGTCCTGAAAAATTGTCTCAGCATTTCTCATTCCCAAAAGGCCCTTCTCTGGTTCTTAGGGTAAGATGACTGCCTTGGTCAAACATTTTGGAGGGTCCCAGAGACTCACTCCCATTGGGCATGGCACCAGAACTTTCCTGCATGGTGGAGGGGCGGGAGGTGGGGATGGAGACCTGCCCTCCAGAGACCCATGTCACCCAATGCTTTTGACCACTCACATCTCAAAACATTGGACAAGCACAATAGACAGCCTCTCGCCCTTATCACAGCATTTTAAAGGTTACAAAACACTCTTTCATTTGTCCTTTTGGCACCTTCTCCACTGTTTCACAGATGAGGAAACCGAGCCTCAGAGAAGTAAAGTGAAACACCCAAGTTGATAGTGTCAGCAAGTTAAAAGTCCAAGCCAGATCTCTTGGATCTCTTTATGCTTTTTTTCAACATAACAGAAATCGATCATACCTACAGTAACCCCTCATTCAGATAAATATTTCCCCCAAGACAGCCAACAGAGACCCTTGGAGACACTAACTTAATGCTAGCCCAGCAATAAATGCAGTCTACCCATATCCAAGCATACAGACCCATCTATCTAGTCCCAAGGCTCTGTCCCCTGCCCTAAGGTGTCTTTATCCAGCGCACCCCCTCCCCAGTACCCACTGAGGGTCCATCAGCCAAGGAGGTGAGTGTCTTAACACAGAGAAGCAAAATCTACCTGACTTCTTCAGGAAGGGGACCTGGCAGGAAGGAGACCCGTCCCTGGCGCTTGTTCTGGGGGTTCCGCCCATCCCCTCCCCTACCTGCCAAGAGCTGCATCCAGGCGCAGATCTTGTAGACCGTAGCTGTGTTGCAGAAGAAGAAAAGCGCAAAGCAGGTGATGCAGCCGAGGATCAGCACCATGGAGAGCAGCACGAAGAAGGCGGCCGCCTTGAAGGCGCTGGACGGGATGGTGCTGAAGTCGGTGAAGGAGCCCCGGCAGGTGAGCTCGCGGCCCGCCAGCCCGCTGCCCACGCAGTAGTGGAAGAGGCCGAAGTAGCCAGGCTTGGGGGTGCTCACGCTGTCGCCCACCCAGTAGGGCTGGATGAAGACCACCACGTTGATGATGGCGAAGCAGATGGTGAAGATGGCCCACAGCACGCCGATGGCCCGCGAGTTCCGCATGTAGTGCTCGTGGTAGAGCTTGGAGGCCTCCTGCGAGGGCAGCATGGTGCCCGGAGGCGGGGCCGGCGGCGGCGGCGGCTGGCGGGGGCCGCCGGCCCGGGACGGAGCGCCGGGCTGTCGGGCGGGAGCTGGGGACGCACGCGAGAAGCGGCCCTGAGTCAAGGAACCCGCGAGGGCGGGGCCTGGGGCAGAGCTGGGGGCGTCTGGGAGCTGATAAGGGGAGAGAGGAAGGGGTCATGAGAGTGTTGAGGCGGTGTCTAGGGGGAATGGCAAAGGTCTCCTAATGGGGGGCCTAAGAAGGGGCCATGAGAAAGTTGGGGGGAGCCTGGGATGGGGATATGAGACCTGGAAGGGGTAGGGGGAGGTGCTTGAAAGTGGCCATTGGGGAGTTGGGGAAGGGGTTTGGGAGCTGGTATTAGGGGAGTAGGAGGGGACAGGGGGAGGTGGAATGGAGGCTGGAGACTGGTATTGGAGGACTAGCAGAGGGGCTGAATTTAGGGAGCTCGGAAGGGAATTTGGGGACTGGTATTAAGGGGTAGAAGGAGGTCTGGTATTGGGTATCTAAGAAGGGACTATGAGGCGGTGGTAGGCGCTTCTAGGATGGGGGAAGAAGGAATTTAAGAGGCTGGGACTGAATGGTTGGGAAGGTGATATGGGGGCTGGGACGGGGAATGGGGGCTGGTATGAGGGTCTAAGAGGGCAAAGTGGCAGAATTAGGATACAGCTAGAGGGAGGTCGGGGGCTGGGACTGCTGGACACTGGGCGAGGAGTGGGGGCTGTCCTCAGAAGCCAGGGCTGGAGGTAGGCTGGAGGGAGCCTAGGATTGGCGGGCCAGGTTTGGGGAGAGGGGTTTCCAGGCCAAAGGAACGAAAGACCGGGGCTGATGGGCAGCGGGGCCCGTGAGGAGCAGGCGGTGGGCAGGTGCTGTTCCCGGGGGGCTGGGGAGCGGCCGGGCCCGAGTAGGGCCGGGGTTGGGGGGGCGGCTGCCCCGCGCCCAGGCCGGACGCGCGCGAGGCTGCGGCCGCGGGGAAAGGGTGCGGGGAGACCAACCTGGGCACGGTCGGGGGCAGCGGATCCGGGACTGGCACGGCCTAGGCGCCGCGGCTCGGCGCTCCCAGCAGCGGCTGCCTCGGCCCAGGCGGCGGCCTCTGCGCGGCCTCCATCTTGCTCGGGTTCTCCCCGGGGCGCGCTCCCGCGCCGAGGCGCGCGCTCTTGTGTACCGGCGCGGCCCGGCGGAGGCGCGCTCCCGCGCGGGCGTGCGGGACGGGGCGGGGCGGAACCAGGAGAGGGTGCTCCTGGTTCTGGCAGTTGGGGGGAAGGGTGGCCACGATCCCTGGGGTCCCCCAGCCGGGGCAGCAAGCACCCCTCCACAGTAGGGCCCCCTGATGTAGGGGACTCCCTTCTTCCAGCCTGAGCTGAGGGGCTGTGAGGCCCCACAAAGCCTATGGGAATGGGGGGAGGGGCTGGAGGGGTATTATTTGATAGGATTTGAACTGGATCTCTTACTCCCAATTACCTCCCCTAGAACCTATCACAGTGCCTGAAGTTGCACCATTACGCTTTCAGTCCTTTGGGTCTTGGAGGCGTTGAAGGTTCCCAGAGTCTCCTAGGAAACTGCCAACACCCCTGGGAGAGGGAAGCCCCTAAACTGGTAGCAGCCCACGCCTGCGATGGGGATTCGTTGGCTGCTAGGGCAGGGAGGGAGGCCTGGGGAACGGGACCCAGAGTGAGTACTAGGGGACAGGAGAGAAAGGGGCTGGGACATTTTTGGTTTCCCTTCCTACACTCTCCCCTGCCCCCAGCCCAGCGCCTGGTGTGAAGTAGGCACACCATAAAGATGTGTTAAAGAACAAAGGCCACCATAAAGATGTGTTAAGGAAAAAGCATCAAAGACCAGGCACAGGGTTAGGTCACAGAACACCCCAGGGACACCCCAAGGGAGCCCGTGTGGGTCATTTCTTTCCCTGTTGGAAAATAGCGTTGGCTTAGGATTTATCAAGATGATGTGGGTTTGAACCCAGACAAACTGAGTCTAAAACTGTCTCTGTGACCTTGCAATACCACTCTCCCTAAATCTGTTTCCTCATCTGTAAAGTGGGTGGATTAAGTCTCACTTCACAGGTATGTAACTGGGGTGGGGTGGCAAAAAGTAATCCATGCTAGTAGGTCTCAAATACTGGACTCCATACATGGGTCAATCTCAAAATGTATATCTGGAGCTGGGCACAGTGTCTTGTGCCTGTCATCCCAGCTACTTACATCCCAGCTACTTACCCTCCCTTACATCCCAGGTAGGGTAAGGTGGGGGGACCATTTGAGGCCAGGAGTTCAAGGCTGCTGTGGGCTATGATCATGCCACTGCACTCCAGCCTGGGCTACAGAGATAAGAAATGCATTTTTATCTGCAAAAAAAAAAAAAAAAAAAAAAAAAAAAAAAAATCATGTAAGATTGCCAATTGTCTTTTTTCCAGTGGGGAAGTGGGACTGCTCTTTTATTTTGAGATTGTGTATTTCCTACTTGCTTAGTGTAAAAAAAAAAAAAAAAAAAAACACTTCTTTTAAGAAATAGTGATGATAGTTAATGGGAGGTTTTTAAAATGTCTTTATTTGCCAAAATAAAAAATAGGTAGCCTATTTCAATCCCAAATTTTATTAAAGTTATGGATCCATAAAATCCCACAATTTGGAGACCTGGGAACCATGTGAATTAGTCTCATTAAGCGCCTGAACATGAGGTGCCCAATAAATTTGACTTCCCCTTCCATTTGGCTTCTTGAGAGGCATCCTGGCTGTTTCCTGAGAACCCTGCGATCCTGGAATCATCAGCTGCAGGGTCTGTGGAGAGCATTTCTTTCTATATCTTCTCCCACTTTACAGAGGGGGAACAGAGGTCAAAGAAGGGGGTTGACTTATCCAGAGAGGTAGGTAGATCCTGCCAGTCAGACTGATCAACCTGGTTCATTAATTTATTCAATCATCCAATAAATGTGTGAGGCCCCTGTGCTGTGCCAGGCACAGTTACCAGGCTAAGCACTGGGGAGAAGGTGGTCAGTAAAACAGACATGGTCCCTGCCAGAGTTCACAGCTTCACAGGGAGATGGAAGGTGCTGGGGGCAGGAAGCAGGGAGATGGCCACCATCAAAGAGCATCTCAGAGTCCCCTCTGGGGCTGCTCCTGGTTTGGGTCCTGTCCTGAACATACCAGGTTATTCATTACTCTTTACTCCTTACTTTGCTTGAATTATTGCCTTATTGTCTAGCCTACTGAGCCAAGTTAAGCAGTCCTGGGAAAAAAATCATAAAAGTCCACTTATTACTCTTCCTCAAGGCAATAAGTGAGAGTTCTTGCTAAGATGGACCCCCAGTTCCTCTGTGGTTGCTCTGCAGAGCAAAGACACCCTGTAGAGATCCGCCTACCACCCACTCACTCCTGACAACAGTGCTTTTTATTTGAAGAATCTTCTTTCTCCTCACTTGATCCCTTAGTGGGTCTCTCTCTCTCTCTCTCTTTTTCTCTCTCTCTGTCTCTCTCTCTCTCACACACACCCCCCCCCCCCCACACACACACACACACACCATACTCCACTCCAGAGGGGTCAAATGATCAAGCCTGGACAATGAGAATACTCCATTGTTCTGGACACAGTGACTGGTTCATAAGTGGGCCCATAACCCAGGTCAAAGAGTTGAGAATGATATCCAGCTCATGCGTTGCAGTTTACAGAAAAGAAGTGTTCTCTTTCTGTTAAGTGTGTTGAGCTGAGGGAATTGTGAGCTGAAGCTGGTGGAGACAGAGCTTCAGCAGAGAGCTTGTCTAAGAATAAGATCGACACAAAGGGAAGCTATGAAATGAAGAGGGAGGCCAGGCACAGTGGCTCACACCTGTAATCCCAGCATTTCGAGAGACCAAGGCGGGCAGATCACTTGAGGTCAGGAGTTTGAGACCAGCCTGGCCAACATGGCAAAATCCCATCTCTACTAAAAATACAAAAATTAGCCGGGCATGGTAGCAGGCACCTGTAATCCCAGCTACTTGGGAGGCTGAGGTTGGAGAATCACTTCAACCCAGGAGGCAGAGGTTGCAGTGAGCCGAGATCCCGCCTCTGCACTCCAGCCTGGGCAACAGAGTGAGGAGACTTCTCGCAAAAAGAGAAAGAAAGAGAGACAGAAAGGGAGAGAGAGAGAGAAAGAAAGACAAAGAGAGAGAGAGAGAAAGAAAGAAAGAGAGAGAAAGAGAAAGAAAGAAAGGAAGGAAGGAAGGAAGGAAGGAAGGAAGGAAGGAAGGAAGGAAGGAAGGAAGGAATAACATACATTCTGGTGACATAGTTTGAGCATCTGGATCCATCTGTGTCTGAAAATATACTTCCAATACAAGTTTTGCTTAAGCCAGTTTGAGTTAGTTTTTAATCACTTCCAATCAAAATAACTAACCTCAACAACTTACCTACATTCCTCCAAAAGAGAGAGAGCAGGGGCATTATTTATCCAGTGTACTACTTTTATAGAAAAGTACCTGGGCCAAGCATGGTGGCTCACACCTGTAATCCTAGCACTTTGGGAAGCCGAGGCGGGTGGATCACCTGAGGTCAGGAGTTCAAGACCAGCCTGGCCAACATGGCAAAACCCCATCTCTACTAAAAATACAAAAATCAGGTGGGCGTGGTGGCATGTGCCTGTAATCCCAGGTACTCAGGAGGCTGAGGCAGGAGAATTGGTTGAACCTGGGGGCAGAGGTTTCGGTGAACCGAGATTGCACCATTGCACTGCAGGCTGGGCAAAAACAGTGAAACTCTGAGAAAGAAAGAAAGAGAGAAAGAGAGAGAGAGAAAGAAAGAAGGAAAGAAGAAGGAAAGAAGGAAAGAAAAGAAAAAAGAAAAATGCCTGGATGGGTGAGCTACTCCTGATAGATTGAAAGTAAAAGACCAGAATTTGAAGCCCGTCTCTGCCACATGTTAATTGTGTAACCTGGGATGACAATGCTACTCTTCAGAGCCTTGTTTTCTTCATCTGTCAAATAGAGAAGAACGTAATTGCTTCCCACAGATGTTGTAAGGATTAAAGGAGGTAATGGATAGGAAAAGAGCTTTGTAAACTGAAAGAGGCTATAAATGTAAGTGATTATCATTAAAGTTTAATAATAAGTGACTTGTCCAAAGAGTTTAAATAGCAGTAGCATTAGAAATGCACTTGCTGAGCCGTAAGGAGTTGGGACAGGACGTGTACTCATTTTAAAGACTAAACTTGGAGCAGTTACAGAAAGAAAATCTGAGAGCTCTCTACGAGAAGAACATCTTATCGACCCCAGGGAGGGGCCAAACCAGAATGGAAGACTTGTGTGGTTCAAATGGGGACTGTAAATCTTAAGCAAGTATGATGCTGGATTGCATTTGGATGAGAAGAGAAGCCCTGGGTACTTACAGCCAATATCCTGCTGAAGAATGGTTTGCAACTTGCTGGTAGCTCTTACTACATTCTAGGTCCCCTGTTCATTGCCTTACATGTATCATCTCATTTAATCTTCACAATAACTCTATGAGGTAGTGTTATGGCTGAATTGTATCCCCTACAAAATTCATATGTTAAAGTCCAATTGCCCAGTACCTTAGATTGTGACTGTATTTTGAGACAGGGCCTTTAAAGAGATAATGAAGATAAGAAGAGGACATACTGGTGGCCCTAATCCAAAATGCTTGGAATCTTTATAAAAAGAGATTAAGACACAGACAACACAGAGACCAAGGGATAACTGTGCAAGGACATGGCAAGAAGGCAGCCATTTATAAGCCAAGGAAAGAAGCCTCAGAAGAAACATTTACCAATGTTTAGACTTCTAGCCTCCAAAACTGTGAGAAAATTAATTTATGTTGTTCAAACCACACAGTCTGTAATATTTTGTTATGGCAGCCCTAGCAAACTAATGCAGGTAGGTACTACTGTATGCCCATTTTACAGATGAGGACAGTGAAGTTCTTTGATTTACCCAAATTCACACCTCTAGCAAGTAGAAGAGCTGGGGTTTGTCCCCAAGCAATCTGCTCCAAAACCCACATTCTTAATTGCCATGTCAAACCATTTTCAAGAGTGGATTTAATTTTTTTTTTTTTTCTTTTTTTTGAAACAGTGTCTTGCTCTGTCACCCAGGCTGGAG